AGAAAGAAAGCAATCATACGAATGGAAGACAATATGAGAAAGTCACATCTTATAATGAATTATTTACTGTGCCCCATCATAATGAAATCTTTACTGTGTAAGTCACATGTTGTATTGTGGATAGGAATATTAAAATACACAGTTATTGTTTGATATGTTTGAGTACATTAAAATTGAAAATAATGCATTATTTGTATGGATAAAAAAATATACACAATATAAGTAAACCAAACATACAAAACAATGTTATACATAACAATCATATCATCAATAAATAAATTCAACATGTTCTAATTATCCACCCACAAAGAAATTAAACCAAAGAAAAAGGATTATTTCTAACAAAGTCCGAAACATTAGGCACTTTCGACAAATTTTCCAAATACTCGCGAATGTTTTCGCCTTTTACTGATGACATATATAAATAATAGAAATTAGCAAACCAAACATGTTCAAATGTAATAATAAACCAATTTCGCATAAGTGTGCATAAATTTATGTCATACCTAAAGCATTGTCGTTCAAAGATGAAGCGTCAAATGGATATGGACATATGTAACTTTATTGCTATATAAATACATAAATTGTGAATGAACAAATGTATCAACATATAGCTTAATAGAATGAACATATGGTAAACATGCAACTTACTGGATTATAAATCATTTTTTCTGCTGAATCATCCACCAACAATGTATTTCCCGGGTTGTATTCATAATACGCATTCCAAACATCTTGCAGATCTTGACAGTAGGTTACTTCTTCTTTTTTTTGCACTTTCTTTGATTCTGTTTATAAAAATAGTCAAACATAAATTTTTAGGAATCATAAACAAATAAAATTAAGCAAAGCAAAACTATGCATCTTACCCAAATGAATATAAAGTGGTCAGACAATAAAGGTAGTTTGTCAAGTACACGATCAATGTTATGCCTGAAATTGTTAACAATTACCACAAGAAACATCCAAATGTAAATTATCCATTTATCTATAGTAATTGAATAGCTTAACATTGCTTACCTCAACTTCGAATACCAAATGGCAACAATAAAGTTTTCTAAACAAAAATGAAGAAATTCATATACACCTGGTCTCAGTATAACATCTACAACATGAACAAAAATTACATTAAAATAGTACGTTTATAGGTTAAATTTATGTATAGAAATAAACAAATTTAAAACCTTTGGTATTTTTTGAAAAGTAGGCAAGGATTTCATTAACATAAAAAATGACAAGTTTTCTTGCCGATGGTGTTGTAGACACTATATATATTTGTTTGGATCTTCATCCTCATCATCATCATCTGTAATATCATTATCTTCATTCAGCACTTGGTTGTCCACCGTCTTCTCCACTGTTGTTATAAGAAAAGAAAACATATTTTACAACATGTAAATATTTAGAACATAAATAATGAATTACCTAACTTGTATGATGTCGTTGACACAATTCGTTACGCAATTTGGAGACTTCATCACTCAATAATGAAATATCGGCTCATATATTTCACAATTTGGTCATTAATGTACCCCACACGAGAATCAAAATGCTCCCGAAAATTAACCATGTACTCCATCACTGACTTTATTATAATATCCTCTTCAGCCCTAGCTTCTTCTATCGGAGCGTCTTCCATCGGTTGCTGGTCGTCATTGTCAATTGGGTCTAATTTTTCTTTCTCTTATTCTGCTCCAATGTCATCTTTTTAGTACAAACAACATTTTCAATAAATTCTTATCCGGCTTTAGTCATGGGTAACATGTCAATCTTTTAAGATAAGTGAACAGGGTAGTCAAGCGAAAAATCCACTTCATTCTTTTTCAATAGATGGGTAATGACAAATTACTTAAGTTGTAATGGATTCATCCTTTTTGACTAAATTAAAAAGTGTCTCAAATATCGGTTGTGCAATGTTTGGAGCAGTTTTTGAGTTATATTTCGCTAACCACCAATAATCGATATCTTGAATTATGGAAAATTTTCCACCAAAAGGCCGAATAAACCAAGTGAGAATTTTGTGAAACACTCTGTCCTCCACATCTAGGTGAATGGGGTTATTTCTATCCACACATTTAATTATAGGATCTAAATCAATTTCATCGGAATCCCTTTACTCTCGAAACTTATACTCGCAATAATAGATTCCAGAGATATATATATCTGTCCCCATTACATGAGTATCAATTCCGATGATGTTGTTCCTATTAGGCTCATGGTGGAATGAAGCATTATTGTAAAACACTCGAACAAGGTTTGGGAAATATTTTGGTTCTACACCAATAAATTCAAGTCAACCCCAATATGTAAATATTTGTTTAAAATCAAATTTATATTTTTCATTGAACATGAAATTCATGTCAATAACACGTTCGGGACGAATCTTTCCATCTTTGAAATGTCGATAAAAATTTTCTTTCTCTTCATCGGTTCTAAAGTTGTTTTATCAAATGACCTGATTTGATCAGAATACCTTACTTGAGAATAAGACCTTGGTTGAGAAGATGACCTTGGTTGAGAAGAAGGTTCTGGTTGAGAAGAACTGCGTCTCGGACGTTATGGAGCCATTTTAAGGAGTGGATATAGAGGTTGTTACATGAAACACAAGCACATTAAGAAAAAAAAACTTTTGAATCCCTAAATCACTAAAACCCTAATTTAGGGGAAAATATATATACATTTACCTACAAATCTTATCGTAATAGTTGCAAGAAATGTCTCTAGTGGAGGGGATATTTAAAGAAGCTTGAATGGTGTAATTTTCCTGAACGGTGGTATTCGTCGGAGTGGAAGATATAATTATCTTTTGGGGGAGCGACTTTTCGATACAAGTATAGAGGATCGATTCTTTTTAAAACAACTAAGACAAAAAAAAAGTGCCTACCAAATAAAAATAAACCGTGACCTAATACTTGAACATTGGTACCAGTTTGTTTATTGGTTAATAATAATGTAACCGGTAAAATATTGTTAACCTAACTGGTTAATTGGTTTAATATTGATACTTGTGTTGAAAGTATCGGTGTTGTTTAGATTGAAAGTATCGATACTTGGAATTTACGCCTATTATCATTAAATCGGTAGACTTTTACAGTTTACATTGTAAATTTACCTATTAATTTAAAGTAATAGATTTCGAAATTATAAGTATCGATACTTTATATATGTGTATCGATACATTTTGTGTGCAAATTGTTTGAGAAGAATACTGGAATAAAAGTATCGAGACTTATATAGACAGTATCAATATTGGTATTTACACTTATTTATATTTAATCGATACCATTCCCCAAGTGTCAATACTTTTGTGTAAGGTATTGATACTTTTGAGACGTTTTTCCTCTTTTTCATTTCTTTTCAATTCCTAAAGTACCGATACTATGGTACATATAATTATAAAAGTATCGATACTTTCAACAATTTCGGTAGCGCTTTATCGGTTTTGTTAAATTAAAACCGGTTTTGTCAAATTATAACATGTTATATTGTCATGTATCGATACATGTTTCTAAGATATCAATACTTTATAGGCGCTATTATTCAATTCTTTTCAATTCCTACAGTACCGATACTTTGGTACACATACTTATGAAAGCATCGATACTGTCAACAATTTCGGTAGCTCTTTACTGGTTTTGTCAAATTTCAACCTGTTATGTTGTCATGTATTGATACATGTGTGTAAGGTATCGATACTATTTAGCCGATATTATTGTAATTCTTTTAAATTCCTACAGTATTGATACTTTGGTACATATAAACGTATCGATACAAATTTCTACAATTCCAGTAGTTCTTTATCGATTTTGTCAAATTGAAACAAGTTTTGTCAAATTTCAACCAGTTTTGTCAATTACCAACCAAATTTGTCATATTAGTTACCTCTTTTGTCAATTTAAAACAAGATTTGTCAAATTTTAACCTGTTTATATTGTCATGTATCGATACATGTGTGTAAGATATCGATACTTTATAGGCGCTTTTATTGTAATTCTTTTAAATTACTAAAGTACGATACTTTTATACATATACTTATAAATGTATCGATACATGTCTACTTTTAACGGGTTTTCTTCACTTTCTTATATATTACTATATATATCAATACTTCTGTGCAATGTATCGATACCTACCGACAAGCAAAGTTTGCCGGTTGTCAAATTTTTTAATATTTCTTCATGTTTTCCACCTACAACATTATTATTAAATCAACATTTACGATAGCTCTTTACCGACTTTATTAAGTATCTTATTAAATTTCCGATCATGCCTATTTCTTAGCCGTATATTATTCTACCTTTTCTTAGACAAACCCGATGATGAGTTGGTAGTTTGGGTTTTACTTATTATATGGTGTTGAGAATTCAGACATGCAATCATGTTGGACAGCACTTTGTTCCATGGTGCTAAAAGAAACATGTCATAATAGAAAAAAGAAATACATATTTGTTGGATACCAGTACAGCACTTTTGGCCATCGTAAATTCCTTGTTGTTCGTCTATGTATGCATCAGTCCACGTGATCAATCTCCTTCCACCAGCTGAAGTTATCCATTGAAATCCATATTATGGGAATGGAAAGATCAAACTTCAAAGGTAAAAAAAAAAGAAATTAATGTCCATGGGGGAAAAGTGGGTGAGAAAAAGAGAACCACATGAGCAGGGACAAGGACCTGACCTCGCCCTCACTAAAATGTTAACCAAGAGATGGTGGTCCGGTACTTAGCTGGGTTCATCCAGTGTCATGCTCATGCCATGGTACTACAACTATCAAGATGAGTCTAGTCACATCTTACACAAATATGGAAATGGTCCACCATTACATGTAAACTTGAAGTTTAACCGGACTGGTTTACGTGAATATCCTTAAGAACAGCATCCAAAGGATATAAAATTTGAATCGCAACATTAATAACATTTTCAAATGACATCAAAATTCAAGGCTTGTCCTTGGTAAAATCTGAATTTAAGCTGTCAATCAACAGTTGTACATTTTCATGGGTTAAAAAATAATAGTAATATGAGTAAGGATAGACACTTCACAAATGATTTTAGGTGTAAAAGAAGAAGAAAAATATCCCCTTCCCCTTCTTCAAGCACTCTCCCCTCTCATTCTTTCTTCCTACTATGGTACAGTCATCAATGGCATCAACTCTTAAGATTATAAGAATTCCCCTTCCTTTGTAGTACTAAAAACTATCAACTCAGGTATAAATGGTGCCAAAGATGAAAGTAGACTCTTTTGAGATTTTGATTATTGTAAGGCAGCATGAAGTTTGATATATTCACCGGCAAATAATACCTCGCTTGAAATCGTTTGATCAGTAAATGATGACCTGGATGTTTTTATTCTACAACCCTTCTGTAGAAAAGAAGATAAGCAGCGGATGTCTTTATCTTATCCGGGCCGATGGGATAAACACGGCTATCATCAAACTCGTACCATTGTCCGCCCCCATGCTACACCAGAAAAAAAAATTAAACAGGCAATCAGTTTCCAGTCTTTGAATGAAAAAGAGAGAATTGTGGTTAAATCATTACTTACATGGGCAAATGCAGTATAATGACCACCTCCCATGCTTCCATAGTGGTTACTAACCGCATAAAGCATGTAACGATTAGATAACTCGCTATTCCTAGAGCCAATATAATCTGACAAATCAAGATCGTCAATGGGGAAGTCAACAAATGTCTCCAGCTTGTTTTTCAAGAACCGGTTATAAGAGAATCGTTTTAAATGAATAACCAGAATCTCAGGAAATCTCCAAAGATCCAACTTTTTACTCGCTTGACGGTGCTCTTTGCATCTAGGGCAGTACCTAAAATACCATTACGCAAGACCAGGCATTAGATAGACAATGACAAGAAAAGTTTGATGACTGAAAAAAAGGTCTATTGCTTGAAGTTTATAGCCAAATTTCTCATGTACATATATCTATACATGTATGTTTGATTGTGTATAAAATAGGCTAGTGTTTCAACTTTCAAGTAATCGTATAACAAACATAATCAAGGATATTTGGAGGGACTAGTGGCAAATTATAAACATCTCTCACATACATTAAAAACAAAATGACGGATCTTTTTTTTCTTTTAATCTGAAAAGAAATGCAGTGACTTAGAGCCAAATCAATGGACATAGATGAGCTATTAGTACATAAAGGGCTTGTCATCTTCCAATAACAAATGCAAGCATGGTTTTCTATCACAAGGGAAAGCAAAGTCAAGGAAACATTCCAAGTATCAAAGTGATCTGCAAAATAAGGTTCAACTTGGTAATAAGAGTTAATCCTCCGAAATAATGAACATAAATTATTTTTTAAGATTCAAAATATTTCTTAACAAAGTTATAAGAGAAAAATGTAAACACTGACCACATGTCTTCTGGTCCAAGCGGCTCCTCCATCAAGAATGCTTGAAGACATTTATACAGAGAAACAGATTCCTGAGGTTTCTTAGCAAAAAAGCAGGACTTAAAGATCTGCGGTAAAGTGCTAAAAAGCTGTGTATCATACTTTTTAACGTATTTTTCTGGCCAGGATGCGAGCACATGTAATCTCTGGGACACTCCTGCAACTGGTATCACTTCACACATTAGTATCTGGGATTCCTTGATTCCCTTTTCGTCAGTTAAGTAAAATTGTAACTCGGCCACTGAAGGCGCAGAATCCCCATTTGCATCAGGGGTCCTTTCAATTCCATTTGGAACTGGAGATGATGCATCATGATCCTTTGGAGAAATTTCAACTGCAGTGCTCTCAGAGTTATCACGGACATCTAAGACTTCTTCAGCCTGTGTCTGAAAAGAATTTAGTAATTTCAGATATAGACCATGGATGTCAGATCCAGTGACAACATCAGAAAGCCTTGCTACAAGAGGAATTCCGAATGTCTTCCAACTTGAAGTCAGTTTCCCAAGCATGTAGTGCCTGAAAATATGAATGCCCGTAGTTTATAGATACACCTAGCAAAATTAATGGATATTCACAAGACAAACCCAGAGTATTTGTCATGCAGATGTAGGCGAGTGTACAACAAAGATATACACGAGAATTTTACATCTTTAGAAGGTAAAAAGACCATGTGACAGTCTTTAACGATCAAGTGAATCTACCATCTTTCTTTCCTAAGTAATGTTGAGAGGTAAACTAGAACTTACAAAATATTTTATAACACAAAAACATATCACCACTTACACTACACACACACACATAAAGTAATCTTGAAATGTGCGACCTCGTGAAGCAAGCAACAAGGTCTAGATTACATGAAATGTATCATTTCTATCAAATCTACAACAAATGATTGGTAAATAACATTACGAACCCATTAAACAAGATACAATCATAAGTAGAAGCAACAATTCCATGTGCCCATCCAAAGATGCAACTATAGGATACTTGGCTTACATATTTTCAATTAAGATACACCTTCGTTAACAAGCGCTCATAAATATAAAATATAGACTAGGAATAGCAAAATTTGGTAGTCATGTGAATGCGAAGCTGAGAGCTAAAATAGTCAAGGTATGAATTAAACAAACTTACTCTTCCAGCTGCTGATGAGTAAACACAACTAAAGGAGCTCTCTCAATGTCTTTATTTAATCGATAAGCAACCAGTGTGTCATCATCTCTAATCAAGGATAAAGAATCAGCAAGCTCTTCAAGATAACGTATAATTCGGTGGTTGTATATCTGCAATATAAATTAATGCTTACAGATTTATTGAACATTTATAAGCATAAAAACAACGGTACAGATGTTGTAAAGAATGCAATGAACCTCTGCCACCAGAAGGGTCTCATTAGCCCCCAAAGAACATGCGACACTTAGAGCCTGGATAAGGTCTTCAAATTTCCCACTCTTTGGGACAGTAATTGTTAAGGGAAATGGTGGAAGGGTTCCATCAGTACTGATGACAGTTACAGTCATTGTTCGCGATGTTGTTGATGGTAGAGGTAGTGACAGGTACATGAATGGATCAAATGTTACAGAAACTTTTCTGCATTCTGGACAAACTAAAGTTGATTTAAATTGACCCTGCAATGAATCAATTGGAATAATAAACTTGTCAACAAAAACATGCAAACTCCACATACTTTTATATTAAAATACGAAGTGTTACATAAGATTGTAAACAAATTAGATCCAGCATTCCTGATGTATTTTAATGAGTTCTTATAGTATGATAGTAACATTACTTGTGGATTGTAAACAAATTAGATCCAGCATTCCTGATGTATTTGATTAACTAAACAAAATCAACCATGCTATAAATCAATACTTGAATAATTCATTCAATCCACAAGTAATGTTACTATCATTCTATAAGAACACATTAAAACAAAAATGAATATTGAATCTTCCAAAATGGGTGCTAAACTATCCCTACCACCATGTCACCCTTCCTTGAAAACAAAAGGAATTTGATGATATCCACTTCTTTCCGGTACAAATGATATCTTCTAATATCATATGCCAAGTTGTCATCTTAAATATTGCATTCTTTTCCTCATAAGCAACATCTTTAGGAGTTCAAAAGAACGGAAATTAAATAAAGACCAAGGGAAAAATGAAAGTGAGTACCGTGTGAACCATACAAGTCAAAACTTTTGACGAGTAGTCGAGTACTCAGAACCAAGTCATATTAAGGAAAAATAAATTTACCTGGCACACATCAACAATGATAGAATCATTGCGAGCAAGGTGATTTTGCCAATATTCATCAGCTACTTCCTCATCTGGTCGACCTTCACTATCCTTCACTTCAGCATAAGGCTTACTTTTAACACGATTGAGATCCTCATGAAGTCCATCCAACAAAAATGCAAGAAGTTCCTAAGATAAAAGACACGTCAAATTAATAAAGAAGTTCCTAAGATTACATATACCCACCGAAGGATAAACAAAACTCAGCTATTGAGATCAAGAAAATGTTCACCGACTTGAGAATCATGCTGATTGAACCCACTAAACTGAGGAGCAAATCGAGCCAGTTTTGACTTAAATGTTCTTGGTGGCACAGGAGTTGCTCCAGGGGCCCATAACTTCCTCAATAGATCCCCAAAGGCTGAAGCAATCTCACCCTGAAAAATTCGTATGCTTTAGTTCAAACATCATACTATTCTGAAACCTATGAAAAAATATAATCAAACATGAAAGGAAAGGAATTCAAATAAATATTACTTACATTCATTCCCAAAGGATTGTCAGGATTTATTTCTCTAGTATAATCTCCAAGAAAATAGTCAACCACCTTGGGTGTATGAACCAAGCACTGAATGGCACTGTTCATGAAACAAGTGTTTCCGAGATTTTGTAATCCAGTCAATCCCAAAGAACCAGCTTCTCCAGATCTTCCACATAATATTGTAGCAGTACCAACGGAATTGGAGTTTGAATTGCCATAGGAACCATTTAACAAGACTGGAGCACCAGGAGAGCAATTTGCAGGAGGTTGTCCTAACATTTCATCTTTTCTCCCTTCCCTACATTTCATGGAATCTGACAACCCATAGACCTGCAACTCCAGGAGAATCTACAGAAACAAAAGTGACAAAACATTACTGGCATGCACTAAAACAGCAAAAAATGATTTGTAAGAAAACTAATATATATGATATTCCAATTATGATCAAGAAGACAGCAGTAAGAGAGCAGTATATTAACATAAAGAGGAAAAATCAAGTTGCCCCTTGCTTCAAAATTGGTTCACACTCTGCTAACAGTGCTTTCTAATCATTGCTGGCCTTATCTGAAGATTCATTCTACTGTCTTAAAGGAAACGTAACTGTAAAGAATCAGTCACTGGGAAAGCGGAAGCAGAACAAAGAGTAGAGCTAGAATATCCCTCATAGTGTAAAGAAACACAGAACTTTCCTAAAGGAAACTCAGATGTGAAGGATTGTCTCAAAAAGCACGATCAATCTTATGTAATTTAATCATCCCAATAAAGGATTCTTACAATATTTTAATTGAATGTGTCCCATATGATGGAAACACAATGGATCAGCCAAACATTGAAGTATAAAACATATAATGGAATACAATGTTTGGATTTTGTGCTATTTGAAACAAACAAACATACGGGAAGAGAATTCAATAAAATATTATACTGAATAATAGCTATAAGAAACATGAAGATAGTGTATTCAGTCAAAGATTGAATTTATATGCTTGAGTGGTTATTTTACACCAATTTATGAACGTATTTAAACAAGGCATGCAGAGAAGAACAATAGCTAAAAAGGCGTGTTTTTTTTTTATAAGAATGACAGGCCTCGTTAAAAACCCCCCTCTTGATTAAAGAAGCTTGAAATAAAGCTCCTTAATCAGCGGAAGGAGGAAAAGAGTGCCTTAGAACTTTTATTAAAGGAGAACATTTACATAAGATTTAACAATTACACTACAAAACTATCCATAAAACAAAGCCACTCCTCCTGGTAGAAACAAACTACTCACTGAAAACATAAAAACCACATTATAAACCTTACAATCAACCTATCCCTTTCTTAGCTAGACTGTCCGCTTCCCCATTACACGACCTTAGAATCAACCTCACCGAATGAACCCTGCCAGTGATAAGAGTCAAAATCTTATAAACTAGAGGAGAGAAGAAGACAGGAGCCAAAACCGGGGACTGAATCCACTCCACTGCAGATGAGCAATCACTTTCAACGATCAACCTACCAATAGATTCCCATCTAGATGACAAAAATATTTCAATACCTCTTTTAATAGCCTTTAATTCAGCAAGTGGAGGAGTTTCTATGCCAACATTCTCTGAAAAAGTCAAAAGAGTACACCCATTCCAATCTCTTAAAATACCTCCAATTCCACCACCCGATCCATCTAATCTGACAGCTCCATCGACATTCAATTTAAGGAAATCAACCGGAGGGGAATCCATCTAAAAACATCACAAACTTTGTCTTTAGAAGGTGTAACTCCATCTGCCAGAGATGGATTACCAATCAGCACATCCTTATGAATGTAAATCTTAGGGAATTTGGCTAGGAACCATTTAGAAAGCCTGAATCTAACAATGAAAAACAAAGTCAATCTGTCAAGAGGAGAACCTTCAAAAACCACAGCATTCCTGACTTTCCAAATAGACCAAAAGATGACTCCCAGAATAAATTTCTAAATAGTCGAGTTCACCCTCAACTCACCCCAGGAAATAAGAATAGAAGGAGGGTCTTGTGGTAAAACCAGCGATACATCCCAAAAACTAGCTAATTTATTCCATAATTCCCAAGCAATAACACAAGAAATAAATAAATGCTGCACTGATTCCTCCTTCTCCTTACATAAAGGACAAAGAAAGTCATCTCCGAGTGGCATACCTCTCTTAACCAACTCAGCTTTGACTGCTACTTTCTAATAAGCAAGCTGCCAGAGGAAAGCTTCAACCCTAGGTGGAGCAAATCCCAGCCAAACCCCTTTTGACCACAAATTATTACTCCCCAACACAGGGCAAAGAGAACTTCTGCATGATTTTGTCGAAAACAGACCATCTCCACTTGCTGTCCACGACAGTAAATCATCCACCAACTCTGAAAGTTGAATGTCCTTTAGTTTAGACATCAGATCCATCCATTGAGCCAGCTCCCAATCACTTAAGCTCCTTCTAGTTTGAACATTCCACACCCAACCGCTCAATTCAAAACTATCAAACTCTGCAATCTTCCCCTCTTTATTAGGAGAGAGCACAAAAATTCTAGGAAAAAGAAATTTGAGAGGACTCTCATTGACCCAAATATCATTCCAAAAGTAGATGGATTCTCCATTTCCCACTATCAGTTTCGAATTTGATCTCAGACTAATTCCTTCCGAATCATTCTTCAAGTAATTGTTGGCAATACCTCGCAAAATCCAAGAAGATTGTGGACGAGAAACCTCCCTAATAGACATCGATTTACAACTAACCTTGTGTTTGCTGCTCAACACACATTTCCATAGGGAACTTTTAACATTGGAAAATTTCCACACCCACTTTCCCAGAAGTGCCCGATTGGTGAGATTCAAATCTAGAACACCAAGACCACCACAGTTAAGAGGCTTGCAAACCGTGCTCCAGTTTACCCAATGAATTCTCCTCTTTCCCTCTTTATCACCCCATAAGAAATTGGCTATTAACGAATTTAACTTCTTACCGATTTTGTTAGGCATTTTGAACAATGATAAGAAAAAAATTGGTAAAAGTTAGCACCGATTTCAATAAGACTGTCCTACCAGCCAATGACAGACATGTAGCTTTCCACCCAGCAAGCTTGGCACTGAAATTTCGAAAAACTGGATCCCATAAAGTCTCCGAATTTTTCTTGGCTCCCAATGGAAGTCCCAAATATTCTGTTGGAAAAGAACCTACTGAACAGCCAATTTGTGATGCCCAGTCTGTTAAAACTTCCTCTTCCATATTAATCCCCAGTAGCTTGCTCTTTGCCAAATTAAGGTGCAGACCCGCTATCATACTAAAAATTCTCAACACTCTTTTAACATTCTTAATCTGAGTAAGAGAGGATTGACAAAATATAATTAAATCATCCGCAAACTGAAGATGAGACAGTCCAGTAGAATTTGCAGGTTTCTCAATAACAAAGCCTTGAAATAAACCCTTATCAACTGCTTTTGAGAGCATTAAATGTAGCAACTCTCCAACAATGTTAAACAGTAGTGGGGAAAGACTGCAACCTTGTCTTAGCCCCTTGTCCATAGGGAACTCTTCCGAAGGAGACCCATTAACAAGAATCGATATCGAGGCTGTCGAAAGGCACTGAGAAATCCACGAGCACCATCTACTTCCAAAACCCATCTCTGACATTGCTCTAAATAATATTGGCCATTCCACAGAGTCATATGCTCTACGAAAATCAACTTTAAAAACAACCCCTTGCAGCCCTTTCTTTCTCCAATAGTCAATACCTTCATTCGCTATGAAGGCGCAGTCCAACAACTGTCTCACCGGGATAAAAGCAAACTGTGACTGACTAATAATATCTCCAACACAGCAGCTCAACCTCTTAGATAGAACTTTAGAGAGAATCTTATAGAGGCTGCCTACAAGACTAATAGGTCTAAAGTCCTCCACATTAACCGGCTGTATCTTCTTCGGAATAAGCGTAATAAACGCATGATTGATCCCATGGTCCCATTTCTTGCCTAAGAAAAAATCCAGAAAAAATTTCACTACATGTTCCTTCAGGTTAGGCCAAAACTTCTTGAAAAATCCCATGGTGAAGCCATCCGGTCCTGGTGCTTTAGAACTGTCCGAGGTAGCTACCGCTTGCCATATTTCTTGTTCTAAGAACTACTCCTCTAACTTTGAGGATTGAACCCCTGTCAGCTTTGCAAAATCCAGTGATAAATCATCAACTTCCATAGTGAACTTAGAATTATAAGCTTTCTTAAAAAAATCCACAATATGGGACTTGATCGATTGCGGGTCTGAAACAATTTGAGCCATTAATCTTCAAGCTTGTGATTTCATTCCTTTTACTTCTATTGAGCGCAGACAGATGGAAAAATTTTGTATTTCTGTCCCCACCTTTAATCCATTTTGCCCTTGATTTCTGAAACCAAATACTTTCTTCAGTCCGATACAGCCTCCACAGAACCTTTCTGGACTGCATCAAGTGATCCCACTCCTGTTGGGAGATAACACCACCTTGTGCTTTAACTTCAAGATCATTTATCTTCAACTCCAAATCATTAATAGACCCAGCAATCCTATGGAATTTTCTTCCAGACCATATTCTAATTGTATTTTTAGCTCCTTGTAAAAAGTTGAAAATGCCCCTTCTCTTCCTGCTCACCCTCCAATTGTCCAAGGACGATTTGACCAAGCCCTCAAAACCTTCCTCTTCTAACAGGTAATTAAAAAATCTGAACGGTTTAGGATCCCAATCCACATATTTTTCCTCCAAAGAAATAGGATTATGGTCAGAAAGCGATCTAGGTAATAGGCTTTGGACGATATTCGGAAAACAAACCAGAAAGCTCCCAGAAATTAGGAACCTATCTAGTCTGACCCAAGTAGAAGCTTCTCTATTGTTACACCATGTAAACCTTCCCCCAGCCAAAGGAAGATCAATTAGGTTAGATTGGTTCAAGAAATTCCTAAGAATATCAATGGAGAGCCAGTTTTGGGACTTTCCCAATTTCTCTGCCGGGTCGAGGTACACATTAAGAGAGCAGCAACAAAATCCAGCAACTCCCTGAAGAATTCTGCCTTCTCAGAATCAATGGAAGGACCATACACATTAATAATCACACTCTTCTCTAGAATTCTTAAATTTTCCCATAAACTGCAATGAATCTACCACTTAAATGGCTATTGGAAACTTCAAATTCCTTATCATTCCACAAAACCATAAGACCACCTGCGGATCCCACTGCTGGGGCGAAAGATCCTCCATTTAGAGTATTTCCACCTATCCTTCTCCTTAGAGACTGAGAACAAGATTCTAACTTTGTTTCTTGAACAAGAAGTAAGCACGGTTTGAGTCTCTTAACCATATTAGCAATAGCTCTCGATTTTTCCTTTTTACCAATACCCCTGACATTCCATGAAATAATCTTTGTCTTTATCATAAATATATAGATATAAAACCAACGCCTCGATGTAGAAAATCAACCAAAAATCTACTCTCCCGGATTCAACCCTCCCTTACTAACATCCAAACCCTCCTCATAATTTATAATTTTCTCCAGGAATGCCTTCTAACCCTCTTTGAAAGAAATCCCCAAAATTTTACTAACTTCCCATATAGCCAAAGCCTCCTCTAAAAATACCGAGAAATTTGTAGAAAATGCAGTAGGTCGACTGACCACATCCAGAGCTTCCCTTGTCAAAAGCCTTCTCTCTCTTCTATTCTCATTCCTAGCCACTGAACCAGATTGACAAACAGTTGCATCACTTTTTGCACTCCTAGAAGACTTTAAATGATCACCTGCAGAAATGTGACTAGAGCCTCCTTCCTCCTCGACCCCCATGGATCTTCCCTCCAAAATCGTAGGAAGGGAATGATTACACATCATAGAATCGGAAATAGTCATGTTATGATCAGTAGGTTTCAATGATTGTATTGCTTCTCCTTCTCTACTCGGATTAAACCATACCTTTCTTTCTCTAGATCTTCAATACACTCTAGAAAACGAGCCAGAATTCCACCTTCTAATCGATGTCTTTCTTTTATACAGACTATTAGACAAATGACCTAGAGGACCCCAACTCCTTAAGCCATGTGCATAATACTTTTTGGTGATTCCAATCCCCTGATTACTGCCCATATGAATTGTCCTTGCGTCCTTTGCCTCCTCTGAACCTTCTGCACTACTAACCTCCTTGTCCTGAGCTATTACTTCTTCTAACCCTTCCTCTTTTGAGCTTTTTGAAGTCCTACTGTCCTTAGCCTCACCATGAATGGGAAGTGAAATTAATTCTGGCGTAACAGAAACCTCGTTCTGCATAAATTGTTCCATCGAACCAGATTGATGTTGTTCTCCTAAACCTTCCACCTGAGACTCCTTATGTTTACCATAACCCAAATTAATTAAAGCCCTCTAACTGGGCTTTATCACTATCCTTTAAAGGAGCATTCCTTAAACCAAGGCCCCGATAATCCCCTTTAAAATTAAAATCTTCTTCTGTAAAATCTGACATCTTTAAACCCCTAGTTTGACCTTCTCCATCCTACAAACATTAAATGCTAACTTCCACTGCCGCCTGCCATTGTTGTGCAGTTTTCCCCTACCAACCACCTGTCTACTGTGTCCCTAGAGTCCTCAGCACACAATTTTTGACTACCTACCCCATCAGAAAACCTTTCTTCTTTCTCCTCCGATGAAGCTTCATCTCTGAATTCACCATCTCCGGCCACCGTAAAGTTTACTCCTGACAAGCTTTCCAGATTTGTATAGACCGAACCCACATTAATTTTTACCTTAAAGGATCTCCCATATGAACCCAATGTAACAGTTTCCTGGATGTCAAAAGGACTGGCTACCCTCAACAAAACCCGAGCCATCGCCAAATCTTCTCTTCTGGCCGTCGACTCGTGAATACACACCAGCTTCCCCCATCTTGATACCATCTTTTCCATAAAAGAAGCGTTCCAGCATAGCAAGGGCATTCCAATCAGTTCCACCGAACAAAATGTCATTGGGACACCTTCTTCACTCATAAGTGGATCCAGCCAATCAAACCAGAAGGCCACTTCCTCTCGTCTGCTCGACCACACCTCCTTGAACTCTTTTTCATCGAACCGAAAGTTAATATACACGAATTCCATGCATAACCCCAGTTAATGATCTTTTCACCCAGTCATATTCATCAGTTGGAATATGCATCTCCCACAGATTCCTCAAAACTGCGTTCTTGCCTGTAGGACCCTCCCGAATCTCATTACACGCCTGACCTTCATTCTGCCCATCAAAAGATACTACTGCATCCTTATACGATCTCTCGTCTCTCAAACGACTGAAATACTCAGGTCCAACTCTTCTACTCTGATACCCTCCCTTAATCAAACTGTCTTCATCCCTTCTGACATTACTCCTAACAGCTTGCCTAAGTTTCTGCTTCTGATACTTAGCTACTCCTACCGAAATTTTCTTACCATCTAACCATATACCATTGACATTTGCAATTGCCTTCTTCAACCCTTCCTCCTTTGCAAACTGAACGAAAGCAAAAGTATGGTTTCTATAATTCGGCTTGTTAGAACTGCTCGGAATAAAGACACGAAAAACACTTCTCTGCTGTTGCAATATTTCCTTTACTGTTCTCCATGTTACCCTTTTACTCAGATTGTCCACAAAAACCGTCCAGTCCTCACCGGAGGACTGACCAGCAATGACCCTCTCTCTCTCACCCACAAAAACTAAGAAGCGCATCTTGGAGGGAAAGTAAACAGAATCGAGTAAACCAGTATCACATTTAAAACCCAGAAAATACCTCTTACCTCCTGATCTGATTGGCGTTGGGAATCTTTGAGAAATCCATTTCCATCATTCATAAAGTATAGAGCTGTCTGCCCAGAGAAGTCCCAAATGTGTAACTGTGGAAGTGGAACAGAGAAACATAGATAGACATCCCATTGAAAAAGTAAACAAAAGAAGAAAAAAAATCATCCGTAATGATAAGGAAAATTACCTGCTCAGAACCTATACTAAAGATTTTGCAGGCTCTTCTGAATAATTCCACTGCATTGTCCTATAAAAAATGAAACATAAAGTAGGCACACAGAACCAAGGGCATCTGATAATGTGGATGAGGGCTAATGATTCAGAAATGTAAGAACATGTAAAATTTAACTAAATAAAAGAATGAGAAATACATCTTGTAGTGTAGGTGATAAAACTATTAAACTATATCACAATTCTAGCAATTCTTTACTTGTAAGAAAGTCTAAAATCCCAAGATGCAATCAAAATCTTGTGAATGGAGTCAATCCGTCTGTCAATAATAACATTTCAAACCAAGTTGTTACAGTACAACACAAGACTCAAATCAGAAATGCATAGTCCTGTAACTGGAAAGATAATATACATAACACAACTGGTTCTATGAAACAAATTATTTTCTAAACAATGCTATCTATAACAAACAGGAACAAGTAAATTAAGCCCCTCTCCAAAGTGAAAAATCATCATAGACCGTTAATGATATGCTGTCATGCTCGATTGGCATTTTACAAATAACATATGGATCGGTGAAACATTGAACCTAAAATTTGGATACTACAGAATCTTTGGATAGCCTAATGTGAAATATCTTCACAGACCAAAAGTGGAAAATGGATCAAATGAACTTACCTTTTTGCTAATTTTTACTCCCAGTGAATTTGTTTCCCGTGGAATAGAAAGTCTTAGCATCAACGGATACACATCTGCCATGTCATCTTCAGCAGCTGAAAAGCTTTTTCCGACTTTTGTTGCAATCTTAGCATCACTATGCCTACATGGAAAAGCAGAGAGTATAACTTGAGAGATATTAGAAAAGCTCTTTTTAGTTTCTAAGGACCACATAGAATTGATTCTTCAAACAACAGAACAGAAAACTAGGTATCAGATTTTAGTAACTCAAACAAACGTTGCTTTTCGTTCTAAAATTCATATAATCAGTGGGAAAGACAAGGTGAACAGAAAGAAAAGTGGACACGGAAGAATAAGCCATGTAAATATCATTAAACCAAAGGAACAAAAAAATTATACATAAAAGGTGCTTATATAGTCAGTCTTTTTGGATCACTAAAATTTTAAGAATAAAATTGACAGTGCAGTTGTTGCAAATGGATTAAGCAGATAATTCATGATAAAGGATGTCATGCTCTTATAAACTAAGATTAAGAATCCAGAAGTGTGTCCTACCGTATTTTCACAGCTAGTTAAGGAAATTGTCAGTGTTGTTTTCGAGCATAGTGTTATTATAAGGTTTGTAAAAAGGTCTGTGAATTGGGAGGCAGACAGCTTGGCTAAGTCGGGTATAGGGTAGTAGTTCAGTATTTTGTGGTTGTAGAGAGGTAAGAGGTTAAGTGTGTGGGGGGGGGGGGGGGTTGTAATAGCCGGCTGTCGTATGAAGTGTAATTTATTGTTGGAATAACATTTGAGGCACTCTTTTCCTCCTTCCAATGTCTGCTGTTGTATTTTTGTACAGCAGTGGTTCTGAAGGGGGTTTTTAACGAAGGCTCGTTTCTTTATCAAAAAAAAAAAGTTTGATTTTGCTAGAATGAAGGAGCCATCTTATCTTAGAATCTAAAAGATCAGGAATATGTACAGTTACAGTTTTCAGATGATATAAACTTTTCATAAATATTTCAGTTCATAACAATAGGCTCCCTAATTCATGTAGTGTCTAGTGAGCAAAAAAAGTTTAGAAAGCAGATCGTAAGCTAAATTCATTTTAAAAGGTTACAAATAGTGCCATATAATTTACAGAAAGCACGAATTGTAGTAAAGTATATATCAGGGTTTGGTGCAAGGATCCCAAGGTAGGATAAGCTCCCATTTTGAGAACCGTCGGTGTAGTTTTTCATAGACCTATTCTCCTGTTATTTCCAGGAGGATTGGAGACATCGCAATGATTCAAATGGGAAGCAAATAGTTCACTTAATGCAGAAACTATACTTAACAGAGAAATTAAGGATCTTTCAAAAGGTAGGCTTGGATCAAAATCTAGAGTATAGTAAAATTATCTCTTTTCAGACTTCGCTAATCCAAACTGGGGCAAAATCAGACTTCACTTTGATTCACTTGTCTCATACAAGTTTGGCTCTTCGTCTTTACTCCTATCAATCCAAACTCATAAATGCAATGTTACCGCACAATGAAATCAAAAAGCACTGAAAGAACAGCCGATAAGTAAACTACCTATTCGATCTATTTAAAACTGATGGAGACAGTGTCTAATGAGATTATACAGAAAAATCAATCTAAACACACTCACCATTTAAGAGCTTGCAACCACATTTCACCGGGAACCAATGCATAGTCCCTTCCTGAAACACCAACCTCTCCCTTTTCGCCATTGTGCAAAGAATCATCATCCTCCTTCCTTAAATTGAAAGCAAGATCTGAATTGAATATGTTGTTGATTAGCTTCATGGGACCAGCGAACGAAGTTCCCGGAGTTGCGGTATACAAAATCCCCCTGTTCGAACCAGATTCACTGGAAGTTGGATCCTGTGCATCTTTCCACCACCTTTAAGTGAAGTAAAAATATGAATCAACTCTTCGAACCAAATCTTAAAAGACAAAACACTAGAAATTTCAAAAGCTGGACATCTCACTTACACAGTTCATAAAAAGAAATCCAACCAAATGCTTATAAAACCCGACAAAAAACCAGTTAAACCAAAACTATAAAAAGAAACGAAAACAACATATTCTTGGTTACTAAGAAAGTAACCCATTTGATTAAGATTCCAAATCACATTACTAGAGATTGACTACTCCGCCAATAATAAACCAATACCCAATACAAGGAACCCTTTGTTCTTTGTGACTGGATAATCTTTTGGGTTTAGATATTTTTAGATTTAAAGAAATGTTGAAAACTGACCTGAAGGGCACAAAGTAAACTCGCTGTTCATCGTTGCTGGCGCTGTTATTGTTGTCCGAGTCGACCCGGAGAGTGGAATAGGAGGAATCATCGTAAGGAAGATCCACCATTTCAAAAGATAAAGAAAAAATAAAAAAAGATGGGTTAAAGTTGAAGAGAGAAAATGGTATTCATATTTTGAGAGAACAGAGAGGGGGAAATAATGCCGGATTTTGCAGAAAAGGGGAAAGAAGAAAACAAAACAAGAGGAGTTTCTATTTCTGGGGGAGAGGATTCAAGGAGGGAAATTCATATATTTTTGGGTTTAATTTCTTCCCAGTATTTTTGGATTTATGTTGGAAAATACAAGTTTCAGGACAAATGAATTAAAGGATAGAAATTCAAAGATTGATTCAGTTTATTAAGTTTGATCTGATTCGGAATGTGGATGGAATCAGTTGTTTATATGTTTTGGCATTAATTCATGTTTTACCCCCTAGTATTTACTTATTTTCCAATTTGGTATGTAAAGTTTTTTTTATCAGAAACGTCTTTAATGCTTGTCGTCGTCGTCCAAATTGCTCAGTCATTATGATACGTCAAAAAAATGTTAACCAATAAGATTGTACTATGTCAGCGTCGTTTTAATCAGATCAAGATGTGTGTAATTTTAATAAAGGTCTAATACAAAAATAAGGATTCAAAGTATATTCAAAGTTAATTTTTGGTGCCTAAAGAATTTTCGTTATAAATTAGTGTCTAATGTTTTTTCATTATTCTTTTATGTGCTTACCGTAAAAAAAGCATTAAGTGACATGTGTCACATTTATATTTTTGAGTTTTTTAAAATATATTATTTTTAATTTTTTTTTAAATTTAAGTGTGACATGTGTTACTTAACTGTTTTTTTAACAGTAGATACCTAAAATTGTAATGAGAAAATATTAAATCTTCATTTTTAACGAAAAATTCTTTGGACATCAAAAGTCAACTTTGAGTATAATTTAAGTACTTTTATTTATATTAAGCCTTTAATAAATTTAATTTTTATATCTAGACATTTTATCATTTTAATCTTTATTTTTTTTTCTAAATTATTTGTTATTTTATTAAATAATTTTTTATTTTATTTCATACTATATTAATAATTTAAAATGACTTGTTGTTTTATAGTTAAATATAATTATCTAACCATTACTTTAATTAATGGACTCATTTAATCTGATAATAATACAAAAAAGATAAATAATTAAATTTATCGAACTATTTTAAACTAAAATAAAAGTAATATAATATATGAATTTTAAATATTACAACGATCTATGGTCAAAGATTGCAAATTATCTATGGTCATGTTACATTTTTATGATGTGTAAAATAAAAATATAAAGTTCCCTCAAAAGGCTACATCGAGATCAATTATGAATCAAAGAGGGGTGAGTGAGGCAATCAACTTATAAAAATTTAAAATTATCATATATATATATATATATATATATTAAATTATTTTATACGTAATTTTTATTAAAAATATATCTTCACACCTGAAATTTTATAATCTTATTTATTTTTAAAATTTTACAAGTTGATCTTTCTACGAAAAATCATGAATCCATTCATGCTTGAAGTTATTCAAGCTATGATTTCATTGTCTATAATACGATTTTGAAATGGGAATATTATGAAAAAAAAAGTGAAAATAGAAATAACACAGAGAATATGATAAATGAATTCCTAAGCGTCCGATGGAACCTGACCAATGAAAATGATTGTTCCTTTTTCCCATATGTAATGGGGTAAAGGGGAGGTAAGATAGTAGGCTTCCCCCAATACCAGGTTGAGAGCAGTTTCCATAAAAGATCTTCGAATTATGAAATGCACTCTGTGGGACTCGATCTCACGACCTCAAGGTTAAGAACTTTTTGCTCTACCAACTGAGTTGGATAGTCATCTAACCTAACCAATGCACCTCTAAATAATACAAGAGGGAAATTAATATGGCAAGTTTCTACCACGTCAAAATGGGAATATAAAGCAGCAAACACAAGCTCTTAAGGCCTGCTAGGTTTAGTAGTCAAACCAAAGCCAAATGGAAATAGAGGGTCATAATGTGGATCACCAACGTTTATAGGGAGCTACTCCACCGTCTTGAACCACGTCCTTGCAAGCTTGCGGTGAACCCGTAGTTGCCGAACAGAACATCAGCAACACCTTGGCCCTCGGTCCCCGGAAGCCAAGCGGCTACAAGTGCATCAATCGACGAGAGATACGGTTGCATGACAACCGGCCGGCCAGAGATGAGAACAACAGTACATTTCACAGCCCCACATACGTTGTATTTCTACCACGTCAAATGGGAATATAAAGCAGCAAACACAAGCTCTTAAGGCCTGCTAGTTTAGTATCAAACCAAAGCCAAATGGAAATAGAGGGTCATAATGTGGATCACCAACGTTTATAGGGAGCTACTCCACCGTCTTGAACCACGTCAAGCTTGCGTGAAACCCGTAGTTGCCGAACAGAACATCAGCAACACCTTGGCCCTCGGTCCCGGAAGCCAAGCGGCTACAAGTGCATCAATCGACGAGAGATACGGTTGCATGACAACCGGCCGGCCAGAGATGAGAACAACAGTACATTTCACAGCCCCACATACGTTGTAAATAGTGTCTCGATCTGGCTGGGATATCGTAAGGTTCAAGCTGTCACCGTTTGTTTCTGCATACGAGGGTTCTCCCACGACAACGATGGCATGAGAGAATTTTCCGGATCTGACAAACTCTGCATCCGGGTTCTGACTGTAGACAACTTGAGTACTCGGATCAACTGTATTCTTAAAGGCTCGGAGGATAGTCGTACCTGTTTAAGCAAGATTGTATTCAGTTAAATCATTCTTAGTTAATAACCTGAGATCATAAGGCATAAGTTAATAAGGGCTTCAACAAAGGATTATGCTTAGCGGAAGCGATGATCAATTTCGATTTTAGCAAACCCCTTGACCTAAGTAATTAATGGCAATGGCAAATTCGGAGGCCATACCAAAACGAAAATGCTTTTCAGGTCATTTTATCAGTCAAAACCTTATATGCTTTTATTTGTTTCAATAGTAAAAATGTACCAGCTGCGAGATCATTGCCACTAAGACCCTGCCATGCAATGGTCCATCCGCCGCATTCATAGCCCAAGTTATCAGCATGAGTTCCGGCAACCAATATCTTAGTTGCTTTCTTCGGAAGGGGTAACAATGGCTTATCGGCAGACTCGTCATTCTTCAGTAAGACGAGACTTTTCCTCACAGCTTCCCTAGCTAATTCCCGGTGTGCCTGTTCAAGCATGTTATCATTTAGTAAGTTTATCTGTTTTTATTAACCCATATGCATATCCAGACCTTACAGAGATGAGGATCAGACATTGACACTAACATTCGAGTCCAAGTAACACAGTCCACAGTACAACAACCGAATGGAATCGATATACCTGACTCCCAAGTTGGTTGACCAGGCTGGTATCAGCCATTGGATTCTCAAAGAGACCCATCACGAATTTGACCCTCAAACTTCGCTTTACAGAATCATCAGTTCGGCTCATGGGAATGATACTGTGCTTAACCTGATAGGTTAGGTCATCAATGAACTCTGTGAAGTTATAAGGAAACATGATCTGCTCAACACCAGAGAGTGCATTAGAAAACAAGAGATAAACAACTTGTAAAAGTAACATATGCTAAATAAAGATTAGTACACCGATAGACTCTCAAACGTTTGAATAAATATTGACTGACCATATCAATCCCAGCACCGACTCCGGCTTCCACGGAATACGAGTAGTTAACATGTGGAGGAGAGGTAATCATATAAAGACCCTGCCAATCTGATATAACGAAACCCTGAAATACACCCAAAGAAATTAGTCAAACCAAATGGTTTGTGCCAAACTTAGTGAGTACAGACAAATTTTTAGTTCAAGTCATTTTTGTTACCTTAAACTTAAGCTTGTTTTTCAGGAATCCGGTCACAAGATCACGATTAGCATGCATCTTTACCCCGTTCCAACTGGAATGGGATACCATAACCGTCGCAACATGTAACCCCCTCAGACCGATGCGGATAGCCCGATCCGATCTGGAGTGTCACATTACGGTCACCGAAGCGACCCACCACCGTACAAATAGCGAAAAATTTAAAACTTTTCTTAAAACATGTAAAATCATAAAATGATTTTTTATTTTTTAGAAATAAAACATGTTTTTCAAACTCAGATATAAAACAAAATACAATCTACATGCCCCCTAATCACATGTACCATCCTCTGAAAGCAAAGCCAGAAGAACTCCCTTATTGATGTCAACAGCTGCACCGGTACAATTCTTTTAACCTGCCATGGTGAGTAATAGAATGAGCTTCGGAAAGCTCAGTAACACAGAACTATCATATGATGCTACATGACATGCAGATAAATGGAAAGCCATACAATTTCCTTATTGAATCATACGTAGTCCAGTTTGCGGAATAATCTTGGGATCCCTTAATAGATCTTCGAGTAGAAGCCATGAAGAACACATTTCATAGGAAGTATTCATAATATCATGTTTCATGAGGTCGAATAGGATGTCTAGTGTGTTTCATCAGTACAATAAAATCATAATAGGTACACTAATAAAATTATAGTTCTGTAAATCCCATAAACCATATTGTAGTGGAGCTTTTTAAACTCGTATTTTAAAACTATCGTATAAAGAGTTAACCTAAGGGACCATCTCAGGGCCTGAGGGCCTACTCAAGAAAGTTCGGGGCCACGGGGCATATCTAAGAACACATCTTAGGGTCGAGGGGCCTACCCGAGAATGATCTCAGGGCCGCAGAGCCTACCTAAGAGTCACATTAGGTCCATAAAAATTTTCCATCTTGATCAGAGTTGTACTTTACAAATCTGTATCTCCAAGATACAATTTATACCGTGATACAAATCCATAAGCCATCACCATTAAGTCGGTGCATCCATAAAACAGTAACCATAAATTTCAGTGTACCTCATGTTAAAACAATTTTTCAAAATATATAAGGAACACACTAGAGAATCTAAATATTTTTCAGATGCATTTTGTAGTTATCAATATGGATAACATGAACTTGTGCAATTTGATCGAATTCCAGGAATAAGATCTTATTGAAGAGAATCAATTTCTAACTGATCTAATCAAACATTTCAAATTGATACTTTAGAATTCCACTAAGTTTCCATGTGCATCAGGAAAACGTTCAGGAACCTTTATACATAATAATTCTAAATTCAGATTTACTGTGAGTGATTCTATTACCCAAACAATCAGGGGTATTCAGGAATATACTTTGAATTCATAGAATTTCAGCCCAATTGAACCAAATGAGGTATTCAGAATCTTTTCCTTCTGCGTTACTTGCGTTTTCAAACATGACCGAAGTGATTTTAGATGAAAATATTGAATCGAAGATTCAAGTCATTTACAATCTATGACTATCGATCGTATTATCAAACAACTCGAGTTACACAACTCCCAAACTGATACATGTCAACAAGTCAATTCATTATCCTTCCAGTGTATTCACTCTTAAATACCATAATGCAGATCCATAGATCATCCCCATAATCATCGCTGAATAGATCTTCCAACGGTCTTTATTTCATTTCCAAGCTTCCACGATATCATGAAATACTGACGTGCTTGATTTGTAGTTCATTTTCCATACGGACAGTACATCTTATAAACTCATCATAATTTTCAGACTTATCCAATTCACCTTACTTAATCCTCAGTCATTGAGGTTACTTAGCTTATTTAGCAGTCAAGTCTATTCCAGTTACTTTGGGGTTTTCTAGAATAATTCAGACGTTTTTGAATTTCGGATACATATTTTACTTCCGTTCACTTTAATTCGGTCTTCGTGGTTGATTTGTCGAACAAATATCCAATTCTTAGTGCTGAATGCAATCTAGAGTTGAGCTGAATACTTCAAAAATTATCATCAAGCCAAACTTGAGTAGACAAACACACATTCAAGTAATATTTATGTCGTTCAGGTACTGAAATATCATTAAGGTTGATCGGCTCACTTAAGCTGTGTTCCATAACTTTTAAAGGTAGTCAAACACCTATGCTTATTTGGATTCCTTAATCAATCCAAGACATTTACTTAATATAGGCCATAATGGTATTTTGGTAATTTTGGTGTTCAATTTTATTCCATTCATTTCAGAGGTCGAGGATATCCAATCATTCCTGAGCTTGGTGATATTCTTGAGTCATTTCCATTACAGGGGTATTTTGGTCATTTTACAGAGTCAGTGTATTTTAATCCTTTCCTTCCGTCCGATCTTACTATTAAATTCAATCTTATCATTTATTTCAGTCATTTCGAATAATTATGATAGCAGAATACCCCCGATAAATTATTCTTCAGGTATTTACTCATTACTCGGATATTTTCGGGTCAAGTGCCTTCTCAGATTTTACAAACGGAATATCATGAATTTTTTTGTACAAAGACAACATCTTAACAATTAAATTCGTACTTAATCGAGTTAAGTACAAATACTCAAAGTACTTTCTCATTCAGGGTCAACTCAAACTATTTTACCTCTCAAGGGCATTTCGTAATTTCTTAACAAGATAATTTCGATATTAGTTCTTAACGAAAATAATTATAATTTAAAGATCCTATGGTCAATTGCTTTCCCGAACATTCTCTGATCTTGAATTATTCCTCAACAATCTTTTAGTTGCGCAAACCTTTTTTTCATTAAAAACCAATTATCCAAATTTTCCAAACAAAACTATTATTTCTTATGCACATCTGTAATTATATCAAATCAATATTTCTTTTCAGAGTTATTAACCTACTTCCAGGGACAATTCTTGTCATCCTACAACATAAGGGTATTTTTGTAATTTTACCATATCGGAGTATTCTCATAATTTCCCATCCAAGTACCTTTACCATTTAACCTTTGATGATATAAAATATAAGTTACAAATCCAGGACTGATTTCTTTATCACCAATCACAAACTTGTAATTTAATTCTAACAACTCCTCAATCTCTTATATTAGTCATTCGATTCGTATTCAGTTACAGAATTTCTACCACATTCATATCGAGTGTATAAATTATTCAACTCCATAAAAGTAACCAACATTATCTTATTCATGCATTTACCAATATCAACATGTTCCATAAAGCATAAAGAGGTAGTAAAGTATTACATCGATTTTCGTGCCATACTGATCAACCATTAAATTTCATTCGAACGCCCTCAATCTTGAAATCATCTTTTAACCTCTTGAATTCATGTTCACCAACTCAATTTCTAGCTTCCAGTCTTTTTCTCAAGAACCCGGACCTTCAAATATATGAACCCAAATATAAAATAAATTTCCTCGCCATAAAAATAACTTATTAAAAATCCTTTTTCATATAAGAGGGGTCGAATTGATAAAATTAAGAACTCAAAGGGAGAATTTAATACTTAGCTACCAAGGTAAAGGACTATAATAATCTTATTCAAACCATTAGACAACATTCATAACTACATAAAAACTAGAAGGCAAGGTTGAATTCTCACCAAACTTGGATGACTCATGTTGTGATTTAGCCTTAAATTTTTATTAACTTTTTTTAAAACCCACGTGATCTCTATATCATTCATACTTTCTTATTTCCTTTCTTCTTTCATAATGAAGGAACCCCTTATCTAAAGTTCACCTCTCTGATTGTCAAGGCGTTACCCGTTGCAGGATCCACAATTTTTGCTTCTAAGCTCGGCAGCAACAACCCTACGTTGTCGTACTTTCGACACTCCTCCGCCGTAAGCATTGACGTTCCAACCCTTGTTGTCTATGTTAAAGCGTACCCCTAACGAATATTTACCGTTGGAAACTTCTCCACCGCCGACAACATTCCGTTCATATCGAGCTTCGATAAAATCACGACCTTGGTTCCGTTCGCGATTTTCCCGATAGCGAAAGCTCCGAATCTATATATGTGAAACATGGGAACGGTGTACGATGAGAATACCCGATCCAGCCAGCTTCAGGACAAGTTGACCGGTGGTTATAACCGCTCTAAGATGTATCACGGAGAGGCATACGATGGATAAGAAGATGTAATTCAGTGCGATGATTAGAACGACGTCGCCTCTCCTTATACACAAACCCGATAAACACGTGGAACCAAAATCAACCACTCGTCAAACTTCCAAAAAAACGAGATTTGGCGGTCGAAAGTGGCTTCGACGAAGGCGATTTTGCCATGATGAGGATAAGATGAAAGAAATGTAATGATGTCGAAGGAGCGGTTGAATGGAAGTGAAAATGGAGTGCGTTTGCTATAGAAAGTAGAATTTGAAGAACAAAACCCACTTCTGGGATCGATTGATAAGCTGTTAAATTCAACCATAATAATTGTTATGGCCTTAGGTGTCTGAAAATGACATTTGGCCTAACACACCTAACTAATTATCATTACCAGCCAATATATATGTGGCCTTAATAATTGGGGTTTTATAATTCTCCCCTCCTCAAAAGAATTTTGTCCTCGAAATTCATTCATGTCACATTATTGCAGAAATGAAACTTCCATCAGTTCTTTCATTTCTTTAAGTAGCTTTTACAAAAGTATGAAACATCCACTAATCCTTAACCAGCTAAGCATACATTCTTATCAGAACTTTTCCTCATTTCAATAAAAGAATCCGAACTAAAATTTCCTTAAGTAATCAATTCAACATTGATTACGAAAATAGGCTCATAGAGTTGTAATATATCCAAATTTCATTTCTTGAGTGGGATCGGAATTTCTCCATTGAGTGATTCACATTACTCGTGAGGTACTTATAGGTATCAGATAGATGTTACTGGTATTTCTTTATGCAAGGGTATAACCTTAATGGATAAAAACTTAGGTTTGCTTGTTACAGATATGGACTCAAACTTGGAGTTCCGACTCAGAGAAGTGTGATTGTAGTCTAGGGGCATGTACGGATTAGATATCTTTTGAAATTCG